ATACTAAATATAATGTATTAGTAATGTTTGTATTAGTTATGCTTGCACTAATTATGCAGAGATTATTTCTTATGCATTGTTTGGTTTGGTGTGTTATAAATAACATGCATTGCATAATTTTTCAAAGGAATATATTTATTTACAAAATACCCTCCACAATTATGGTTGAAAAGATATAAAAAAAAAGGTTTCAAGGAGTAATTGGGTCTTTAACCATGCTAATTCATGCATTAAAGCCCCTTGCATTACTAATAGGTGTTAGTTATATATTGATTGAAAAAGAATACTAAACAAGGTACTAGTAATACACAAAGTTAATACATGCATTATTTTATCTAATACACTCTGCCACACGACCCCTTAATGAGTTTACCTTTAATACATGTAATAGTGTTTATGCAATCTGGTTACTTAAAGTAAATTTAAGGTAAATGTTTTGCACTAAACATGTAAGAGGGTGGATAAACTGCTAGAACCTCGAGGTGAATTTTGAATCTGCTAAACCACTTAGCCAACCTCTAGTCTTGTGTTTAGGGGATTCAAAATCTATATATTATTTCGTGTAGATTTTTTAGTTGTATTTTGTTTTAGTACTATTTTGTTCATGTTTGTTGTTTTTGTTACTATTTATTGTCTATTGTACTTTCATTATGCCTTTTCCAAGACTGATTTTGCCTTGAGTCGGGGATGTATCGAAAACAACCTCTCTACCTCAGCACTGAGATTGAGATAAGGTCTGCGTACACTCTATCCTCTTCAGACCACACTAAGTGGAACTATACTAGGTATGTTGTTGTTGGGATTTGGATGAACACCCTCGCCCCTTCTTATTATCCTCCCTGACTGGAGCATGTACACATTTTACATTGTCATTACATACAACTTAGATTTATTAATGTTTGTTGTATGGTTGCTTTTGGCTTTTTGGTTCTGGAATGGTTGTATGCTATTTTCCTTTTATGTTGGTTTCCTTTGGTCAAGTTCTATTATATTCTTTCCATGGGTTTTAAGAGATCTTAGATCAAGATGTAGACCAATTGCAATATAGGAATTGTGTTGAAGTTGTTATAAAGTAGTTTGTGATTGCTTTTAGGTGAAGCTCAGATTGGTCTAAACGTGACTCCACACGATCCGAAAACAGTGGCGAGTGAGGTATGGTATGGGAAGGAAAGTGGGAAGTACACAATGAAGCAAAATGGAGTTTCAGTTGTTTACAGTCAATTGTATCCCTTTGAAGGGCTATGGAACTACACTTCTGGCATCATTCATCATGTGAAGATTGATGGTAAGGTTATCTGCATCGAGTCGCCTCATATGTTCCCTTGGCTCACTTGTCTTCTGTTTCTGTTTTCCTGATTCAAACTGAGATCCATATGTCGATGAAAAGAACACATTTTTGCAAATGTTTTCACTATTCTTAATTCTGTTAGTATACTGGAAGCTGAATATATGTGTACATGGCTCTGGTTGCCTCTGAATTACGAGTCTTTGACGTGTAGGATTAACAAAATGATGTATATGTTGCAATGAAGTTTCTTTTTCTTTTCTTCTGTAGGTCTTGAACCTGAAACAAAGTATTACTACAAGTGTGGTGATAGTTCTTTAGTAGCAATGAGTGATGAACTTGCATTTGAGACCTTTCCATTGCCTGCACCTAACAAGTATCCACGACGAATAGCAGTTGTTGGTGACTTAGGTCTTACAAGCAATACAACCACAACAATTGATCATCTCATAATGAATGATCCTTCCATGATATTGATGGTTGGAGATTTAACTTACGCGAATCAATACCTTACCACTGGTGGTAAAGGAGCTTCATGCTATTCTTGTCAGTTTCCAGATGCACCGATAAGAGAAACATTTCAACCTCGATGGGATGGATGGGGAAGGTCATCTATTCTTTTCCTCACATAACTAATCTCCTTCGTCTTTTAAAACTTTTTAGCTCTATGCAATTGTTTGTTTCAGGTGTGAGGCTCGTGTTGATGCTAGTTACACTATTCACCGAGTGCTCATCAAATAGATACATTGTGGTTATAAATCACAATCTACTTATAAACATCATATTACAGATGCCTATGAGACAGAAAAATGAACTGTTAGAAATTGGAAAAGAAACTTAAAAGCTTTCGGAAAAGAAGTTTGAATTGAATAAACTGGAGTTTCAGGTTTATGGAGCCGTTAATCTCAAGAGTTCCAATGATGGTTATCGAAGGAAACCATGAGATCGAACCTCAAGCAGCAGGGCTCATATTCCAATCGTATTTGACAAGATATTCTGTTCCTTCAAAGGAATCTGGCTCTAATAGTAACCTTTACTACTCTTTTAATGCCGGAGGAATCCATTTCATCATGCTAGGAGCTTACGTTGACTATAATCAGACGAGTAAGTGATTAAATTGCTTAATTCACTACGTGTTAACTTCTAATATTTGAGGTATACTTGCATAAAGAAAGATAATGCTGCAAATATGTGAGCTTATCGCCTACTGATCTTACTAAATGATGTATTTTTTTAAAAACTGATATCAGGTGCTCAGTATTCTTGGCTTCAGCATGATCTGGAAAAAGTAGATCGTGGCGTGACTCCTTGGCTGGTGGCTGCATGGCATTCTCCTTGGTACAATAGCTATTCATCACACTACCAAGAATTTGAGTGCATGAGGCAGGAAATGGAAGAAATGCTATATACATATCGCGTTGATATAGTTTTCTCCGGTCATGTAAGTTGAAATATACTCCTAATCCTGGCTATTAATGATTGAGAAAATTTCAATTAGGACTTATCTCAGGTACATGCATATGAGCGAATGAATCGAGTCTACAACTATACTTTGGATCCATGTGGTCCTGTTTACATAACAGTCGGAGATGGTGGTAATATTGAGAAAGTTGACGCTGATCATGCAGATGATCCTGGGAAATGTCCTTCACCAGGTGACAACATTCCAGAATTTGGAGGTGTATGTCACATGAACTTTAGCAGTGGACCTGCCAAAGGAAAATTTTGCTGGGATAGACAACCAGAATGGAGTGCATATAGAGAGAGCAGCTTCGGGCACGGGATACTGGAGGTATAAAGCCAGAGCTTCAACTGTATTACTTACTTTTCTTATTCTAGAGGCAGTTATTGAAAGGAAACATATGCAACAAAAAAAAGTCATCGCGTTGATTGTGTATCAACTTGCTTAGGTGTTTTATCATCTGATCCATAGACATGTCGACACTCTTTAACTTAGTCCTTTGTTTTTATTACCATTATCATTGATCTTTATTTTTTCGTTCAACACTCTCTTCTTCTCCATTCATACTGATGCAGATGGTAAATTCAACTCATGCGTTGTGGACTTGGCACCGCAATCAGGATATTTATCGTGAAAACAGTCATGGTGATCAATTATACATAGTACGACAACCTCATACTTGCTCTGTTGACTCAAAGGTACCCTTTCATCTACCTCAAAGGTGATTATAAATGGACATTCTCTTTTTCAACTATGGATTTACTCAAAGGTGATATACTAATAAAGTGAAGTAGTTATGGAGTCTATTGAACAGTTAGAGTTTGACGGTTAAAATACTCTATTATTACTAGCTATGTTGCTCGGACTCTCCAAAACTACTTCTTTCATTCTAAGACTAACTTCAGACAAGATGAAAGTTTTCTTGCAAATCTGCTTTATGGCCTATATAGGAAACTGTGATCGTTACGTTGCATCTGTATCTTCACATGATTCTCTTAAAAAAGATAAAAGAGAGACAATGATCTAAATGATTAACTATCAGTTCTCCACCATGTAACCAACCATCTATAGCTAGCTCTATTTTTTGCGTTTATCATATCTTTAGTACACAAGTCTGAAATCTCAATCATCAAGTTGTTGCTGTGTCATAGTAGTGACTAGAACAATGTGTTTCTTCTACTTTTCTTTGTAAAATCTCTTTAAGGACTTTCAGTCCAGTTAGTAACTGTTGTTGCAACCATCTATAGCTAGCTTTATTTTTCGCGATATCATATCTTTAGTCACAAATCTCTTGTTGTTGTCTCTCTTTCTTGTTCTAACAACTGTGTTATTGCATTGATACTGAAGACAGGATAGCAGGTTGAGTCCATCAATACCAGTGGCGTTGGAACATTGAAGCTGCACGAGTATCCTATTTGTTACATAATTTTCCTCATTGGCAACCATTGAGTACTCAATTGGACACACCTTTGTAATGTGTTTATTTTTAAATATCTAGGACACACCTACAATATGTGTAATGTTGTTTATAACAATAGGTAAATCACAAATGCCCGTCTAGCTCAGTTGGTAGAGCGCAAGGCTCTTAACCTTGTGGTCGTGGGTTCGAGCCCCACGGTGGGCGTTAAACATATCAATTTTTTGTTGGAGTATCCCAATGGTGTAACGCCGTCGACTTCTTGGGAAAAAGGAGGAAGATGACTTTAATCTCTTGTTTCGGAGAAATAAGTGGCTCACGAGGAATGGAAAGAAACATATATTTCAATCCCATGTAATACCGTAGTGGCTAAAACAATTCACGTTTCTCATGAATCAGTATTTCCTATAGATACTCGACTCACGTAAAAACATATCAAAATTAGCTATAACTGAAGAGTGAAACTATGAAATCATGAACATACTCCATGATATTCATGCTTTAATAATCCTTGAGAAAACCTTGTCATAAATTTTATAGCATGTCTAGATTACTATATTGTTCTTTATATCAAAAAAATACCCAAGTTTGTAGGGAGCTGTATTTAAATTGAGCAATTTATTTAATTGTTATTAAAAAAATATGCACATTATATTGTAACACCGTCTCTAGTAATTTTATTAATACAAGAATGGATAAGCATATTTGAGAACTCCTGCTTTCTTATTTGTTGAGACAAACTAAGAATTATTTTACCCTCAGAGAGCATAGCTCTGATCAAATGGTAAGAGCGCGACAAGTGAAATATAGGTTTAACTGGAGAGAGTTAAGAGGAGTGGATCAATTATCCATCGAATTTAGAACTGCCAGCTGACCACGGGGATTTCTCGATTACCAAAAAACAAGAAATATCAACAGAAGAGATAACACAAAAATGTACTGTCCTAGAACTTCACTCCTCTTCCAAGGGAGACTAAACTTCATATTTCAACTATATTGTATGTCTACATTAGCAGTGTTTTTAATTCTATCCTACCCTCTGACCACCCCCTCCATACACCCTTAACCATCCAGTCATGACCTCTTCCAAGGGAGACTAAACTTCTCATGTCTTGTAAGAGAATTCATTCTTGAACTCCTTCTCAAGTTGTTCCCTAGTTTCTGTCTTTGCAGCCAACACAACATCATCAAGGAAACCTCTCTGAGGAAATTCTTTGGGTACAAGACTTCGATATATCTCAAACTGTTCATCGGCTTCTTTCTTCTTGTCCAACAAACTGTAGACTATTCCCTGTCACCAAGTACCAAACACAGAAAGATTCAAGAACAAAGATATATGGGGTTGACTGCCCCAACATTAAGCTTTTAGAAAACATGCATCATCACATGAATAGGAATTAATTACACTCGAGAGCAAATCTTGCTGCATATGCATGACACATGGTTATTGCTTAACCATGCATCCGCCTTTCCTCACTATGCAATAAACTTGCTTTGCCATCTTTTTGCCATCCATTTAATTACTAAAATCTTTTGTTGCCTGAGACCATGTTTATCAGTGACTTAGAATCTAATCCAGAGTATATCAAGCATTGCATAGAGTACATATTAAACAGCATTTTATCACCATTCTTCTCAGTATTAGTGTATTACCAAATCTCATAATATGTGAACCTTGGTTCAATCTCCAACCTTGATCAAATTACAAGATCAATTATCAAAAGCTCTAAAGTATTACAGTGGGCCACTCGAGTATACAAGGATGCACGAACATTTAGCCAGAAGTTTAAGCTGATTAACAGAGCTACAATTTGCTTATTCTTAACATATCCTTTTCGAAAGCTTACAATTCAAGAAGAACTGAAGCTTATAAAGTAATATGCTGTGGAAAAAACAGAACACAAATACCTGGCACAGATAAGGCCTGAAGTCTCTCGGGTTCTCTTGGACAAGAAGTTTAAACTTCTGTAAGGCCTCTTCTAACTCACCCTGCAAGACATGAATGAATGTAAGAGAGGAGAACTAGGCTGAACTAGCTGGAACTGGGTCCTCTAACCATCAAAACATTGACCATGAGGATGAGAATTGGTGCTATCATGACCTTCACTGACAAAAACAACCTCTTTAACTTAGAAAAGGCAACATGCTCGGACAACCTATTACCCGCAAAACAAGACCATCATGCAAGTGGCCAGACTTTCACCATTTACCCAACTACACTGCCTCTCTTCCAATCTGTACATCAATGTTACATCAGACTCTAGGGATATCCAATAGTATCATTATAAAGCAAACAAGGTAGACATCTCTGTTACACTTAATGCATCGACTTAGGCACAAGATGTTACAGCAGACAAGCTACAAAACATATGCTAATAGTGGGAGGATATCATGATTTACATGGCCCCTCATGAGAGTTGAGTAACTCGTTTTGATGTAACAGATAAATGTCACACTAAAGAAATCAGGTTTAGCAGGTGTACTTCAAGCCATTACCTTAACAACATGCATTTGTGCGACTAATATTTTTATGTTTCTTTCCTCATTGACTCTTTTTTCCTGGCGAGCAACTTCTAGAGCACCATTTAGCATCTCAAATACAGTGGGACCTTCAAAGTTTTTGTGCATCACCATAGCTAAACCCTGGAACAATTCAATAGATAAGCTTAATAAGCAAGCATAACAAGTTACTAGTGGCAAACGAAAGAAAATGGGTCAAGCAAACATAAGCAAAATATTCGAACTCATTGCCTAAAATTGCATGCCCATTCAATTATAGATGTGAAGAGAAAATAGTGAAGAAATCAGAAACAGCATGACACCTGTTCTTTGTTGCCTGGACTCCTCCTTGATCTGGACATACCAGTGACAAACAGGTAGGACATAGTGGTGATTCGAAATACACAAAAGACTACCTAAAATTTGACCACTATTTCTGACACACATCATACTCATATCCAGGATGCATTAAATTGATTAGTGTCATCACTTAATATAGATACATTATTGATTTTGATTACTTACAAAGTTCACCGCTTAGATATATATGTTTGCACTTAAATTATTCTCCTCCTCCACGCTGAAAATTTGTAGCTATCCTTCAAAGAATTGCTTCTTCATTCCAATAGGAATGGTATTTTGAAAATGACATAACTGAACTCAAAATATTCTCGTCTCAGATTGGCATCCACTGCAAGTATATAACTGAATAGCCTAAAGTTATACAAGAAACAACAATTTGAAGGCATAGTAAACCCTAAGGATCCAAAGTTAGATAACACTATAGATTAACTGACAAATGTAGAACTGCTCCCCTCAAGGAAGCTTGATCTGTATTTTAATAACAATGCGTCAAAGCTTACCTTATATGAAACATCATGATAGACTTCATACAAGTGCACAATTCTAAAATAATTCATCATGTGTTTCTTGAGCATTGATTTTTCATTACACCAGGTAGTACCCCTAGTGTTCAGAAAGAACATGGTTAGCACCGCCAGTAAAGCCAACGGGATTCTGGAGCAATGATTCCTTATCAGTCCTCAGTTTATCAAGGACAAAGTCCACTAAATACCACATCAATGGGAACCAAGTATTGCCACATCCATAGAACAAGAAGTCAACAAAGGTGACTTGAAAAAATCAACAGAGAGACAGGATGTTCAGCTATTGCATGGTTACCCATTTGAAAACAGCTTTTTACACAAACTTTACCAAAATTTCTTGGGCTTCAAATGTAGTTACTGGTGAATTTTACAAGTTCAGATAAGAACAAAACCTGGATTTTTTCTTGAGTCATGTAAAACAGTCTAGACCAAGGCATTTAGACCTGCATTTTTTAGTCATGTAAAACTGTATAGACCAAGGCATTCCAGCCAGCTACATGATCCTTCTTCTCAGTGTTTACAGAATATCAATTCACAATACTGCATTGCTCAATTACTATCTGGATAACTAATGATATGGTGACTGTCACTATGCCATTGACTTGATAAAGAAAATGGATATTATATCCAACATCTATCATGAGAGAGCAGAAACTTTCACATAATTTAGATTCGAGAATCCATGTTCAACCTTCAAACCATAAGACAGATATCCAAATAAGTACTAGGTTATTGACATTCTCCATTGCGAATTTGACAGTCACAAAATATCACAACTAAACGAATCATTGACTCGAGTCAAACCAGCATACATCACAACAAACAATAAGAAAAGGAATAAAAAACACAGTGGTTGTTAGGTCTGCCATTCAGTGTCTTAATGCACAAAGTTCTACACAACAAGATATTTACATGACCTCTAGTGTTTTTACACTTAACAATGTTTTATAAGCACATCCAATATCATTAACAACAACCATTAACAAGAATTACTCAAAAGTTAAGACAAATATTATCTAATCCTCCTCAACTCACACATGGTGTTAATGCAATATAAACGAGTGTATAAACACACACACCAAAAAAAGGAAGCATCTAAGGATATCTCAATAGAAATTCCATTAAAACACAACAGGGTTTAGGAACCATACATGCAATGCTCTAAGCAAGAGAGGCTTCTGCTTCAAAATCTCCTTAAACAACCTCTTAGCCTTACTTAACTGCCCCATCATCTCATAACAAAGAGCCTCCAAAAGCCTCCACTCCATTTCTCTAGGCTGAACCTCAATCAGCTTCTCCACATACTTCAAAGCCTCTTTAGTCTTCCCTTTCCTCATCTTCACATTAACAATAGTCTTCAAAGCATCAACATCTCTCGGATTCTTCTCCAACAACTTCATACACATCACTTCTTCCTCACTATCTCCTTCTTGGGTCTCAACAACACTACTTCCTTGAACTGGTTGTGGCAATGAGAATACACGTTTAGCCCTTATACCCATAAACAAGAATGACCCAACAAGTAAAAAAACAATCTTTTCACTGAAAAACTTGGAAATTCCCTTCTGGGGTTTCCAAGAACAGGTTAAAATAGCTGAATTTTGGGATTTGGAAGCTGCTTGGAGCTTGGGGTAAAGAGTAGTCAGGGTTTTGGGACTGTAAAGGGGAGGAAGAAAAAGGGTTTTGAGGGAAATGGGGTGAACAACATTTGAGTTGTGATTGAGGGTTGATGAGTGTAGGCAAAGTGGGATTTTAGTGGCAATTGAAGAAACCATTTTAGCAAGTAGCACTGTAGAGAAGCAGCTGCTTAGAAGAAGAAGAACATCAAAAATGGAAGGTTAGTCCATCTGAAAGTTGTGCTCAAATAAGTCTTGGTTTTCTCTTATATACCTTCAAGGGGTTTAAGGGAATATAATCGATTGATGCTAAGGTACTCTTCTCAAATTTGGGGCTAGGTGGGTTGATTTGATTCCATTTTTTATGCAAAAAATTGTCGATGAGTACGTTTCAATAAAAAATTAAGGAAATTAGCGATATTTTTTATTTATTATTATTTATAACATATAACAATATAATAAATCTGTAATATGTATTAAATTAATTAAGCTTTAGAGAACATAAGAGACATGAAATGTGCTTCTAGATATATATGAATGGAACTCTGGAAGGATTTTGCTGAAGAAACAAATATATCGATGTTATGCTAGATTATCGAAAGAAAATTGATTATCTATCTCAAGTTATTTAAGTTCGTATTTAAGGTATGTTAAAGTAAAATTCTTTTTTTATACCACACGAATATTTGTAAAACTTGCAAATTATTGAATGAGGAAGACCCGCTATGAAGGGCATTAGGATGTCAGTTGATTATTTCATGCTTTATCATATCGATATCTCCCTTATAATGTTGTGTAGTATGTCAACGGTTAAAGTTATTTTCTATTCATTTTCATATTTCTTATGTCTATTAGTGACGTGATGTCCATGGTCACATCTGGACTAAGATTATTAGAGCGTTGTAGTTAATTGACGCAATGTTCATGGTCACATCTGAACTGAGATTATGATGATTACTTCTCGCAGTGGAGAGAGGGTACTCGTTACGAGTAGCGACGATTGCCTTCTCCCTCGAGGGAGATGCAGAGTCTCTCATGGCTTTAGAGACAATAACTGAGTTAATACCAGTAGTGGGGTCCTTAGTAGTTAATGTGGAGAGGGGAGGGTATTTTTGTTGAGGGAATCCATTCCTTTTGCAGAAGACGCATTTTCTTTCAGGTGTGGACCATCCTCATAAATGCTTTTGCCTCTTTTTGAGTTCAAGCTACTTGAGCTCTTTATTATTGCTGCTTTGTTGTTGTTTTTTGTTTTTCGATTCTATCCATTGTTTACGTTTACCAAAGGATTCATTAGTAGAATACTTAAATGAGCAAGTACAATGGTTAGAATTTATTGGAGAGAGTTGCAAAATTTACCTGACTTGACATCGAATAATTTTACATGTGACTATGTGTTCTCTTCCCTCTAAACCAATTCACCCACATCCAGTACATAATGTTCCTTCTCCTTCGTAGAATACCTCCTGAAGGTGGCTATCAATTTTAATCGTTTTTTACCAGTACGCCTATTGGGACTTGGATGCATATTCTTGCATAACGTGCTCTAGTGTAGCGGAAGTGCAAGTGCCAATTTTTAGGAGTGCACCTAACTTCCTACCAATCTTTTCAAGTATGATTTTGTCATAGAATTCAATTGGTAATTGGGAAAGTTTAATCCAAATGGCATTGTGAGAAATGGTAGACTCTTATGGGACGAAGTTTGGTTCCTATTTCCTTACCGATAAGATGTTTCCCAATATGAACCATGGTCACTCTTGTAGTGCTCTCTGCATGTTTTCGAGCAAACTGAATTTTGCTATGAAAATATCCCATCTCAGGTCGATTAGAGTTAGTCCTTTGGTGGGTTTCCATAGTTCAGTGAGCTTATTTTTTAGGTATTGGTATGATACTTTTTTTTCTCTATCAGCTTGATGGTCACTGAGTGTTTCCAGGAGAGGTAGATTCTTGCCTTTTCCTTCCCTGATAGGGGGATTTAGTCGCTTGGGTCGACCTTCACTGAGGTGTTTTGTTCTTTGGCTTGGTCCAAATAAATTTTATTCAGACCCTTATTTTTGTCTTGTAAGATTTCCTTAAAGAAATTTTTGATGGGAGGAAGGTCTTCCTCTATGGCTATTTGATCGTCCGGAGGCTATGGTGGCTCAGTAGAAAATGTCGGAGGCTGGATTTATGTTTGGGGTTGGGGGCATTGGTAATTATAAGAAGGGGTCTTTTTTCCTAAATATAAAGAACATATCAATTTTAAACAACAAAATTAAGGGGCAACCTTTTCTCAAGAAATTATTTGATATTAATATACTTAAAATAAATCGATTCAAACAGTCTCCATAACTTTTGATTTTAGTTTTACTTGACACTACACAGTTTTAGATAGAAAATGTCTACAATTAAAAGATAATATATTTAGTAATAAACCAATAAAATAAGTTAATTTTGTTGAAAGTAGAGAAAAGATTATTTTTTTCTTGAAATATTAATTGAGAGATTTTTTACCACATAAAAAATTTAGGGCAAACTACATAAATCTCACTACTTTAGATCCTAATTACTAGGATTCCCAATGGTTTTTTATATTACTTTCTATATTATTTTTTTGTATTTGGATACATATATCATGACTCGTTAGACGCATGTATCCATCAAATTTAATAGGCGAGATACGTTATTTATTACTTTTGCATTAAAGGGTGTAACTTATTTTCTTAATTAAAGGAGTTAATGATGAGTAATTAACAACCAAAACAGATTTAGAGGATCCTTTCGTATCAACTCTTATCATTTTTCCTAAAATATCAAAATCATAAAGCATAGTAATTCTAAAATTGTAAACTTCATCTTCTTCATCAATTCCTTCCTTGTATCTTCAAGTTTCGAGTTTTTTTTCTTTTTCAAATGGCCAATAACACGAGCGTCGTTGGATTTGGCCACTTCGGAGATCGTATCGACGACGGAGAAACCGCCTGGATCGGCGGATGCAATTAGAAAGTCGAAAGGCCCAATTGATATATTTGGTACATAATTGAGATATGATTATATGTATCTAGTTTTTATGAGTATATCTAATTAAGTATGTATGTATCTTCATGAACCAAACATGTATGTTAGACTCCATCGCGCATTGTTGCACTAAACGTGTGTATTTGAGTTTAGTTGTGTATCTGAATTCAAGTTTAGCATAATTCTGCCATTTTAATTGGGTTGTTTCTATCCTTAGATCTATTTTCGGTTTGAATGTTGGTGGATGAAGATTTAAACCCTGCAATCATTCAAAAATAGTTAATGAAAACAAACGAATAAAAAATGCTTAAATTGAAAAATTATTGTTAATGTGAAATACTTTTAACAAGAATCATACTATTTTGTAAATTGTCAACCATTAAAATGGTTTGGAGAAAGAAAAAAATCAAACAAATTAAACCCTAAAATCGAACTTTAAAAAAATTGGAACTCTGACTCAGATACTTGAAAGTGATGAAGCATACGATACATTAAAATAGGCAAAAGTGTTCATTACCCTCCTGAACTTGGAGCTTTTTATTCAGTGTACACCTAAACTATATTTCGTTATAATTACCCCCCTTGAACTTGTTTATTCCTCCATCACGTGCACATGTATGGTCCGACCACTCCAATCGTGTCTACACGCGCATGACATGTTGATAAAAGTGGTGATGTGGATTTTCAGTTGGATAAATATTAGTCACCTAGATAAATAAATGTCAAACTTCTTAAAACTTCTCACTAAGCTCAAAACTTCAAGACTAATCTTCTCTCTAAGAAGTGCAATCGACAGAGTAAATGGCAGATTTCAAACATTTTGGCTCACTAAGAAGTGTAATCGACGGAGTAAAGGGCAGATTTCGTGGAACTCTTTCTGGATTTGGGTTAGTTACAGTTCTTAGACGTGAAGTTCTTGCTCGATTTAGTAAAGCGTTTGGTCGATTTTCTTTCGATCTTGTCTGAAATTCTTACCAAGTAAGTGATTATCCACTCTTATGATGTGTTATTGTTTGTTTTCTTTACTTTTTCATTTATATTTTACCATATTTTTCGTTTAAGGTTACGCCATATTCTTCGACTAGGGTTTCGTCATAGTTTTCGATTGAGATTTCGATTGATCTTTCAATTAGGGCTATCATGGTATTGTTAAATGTTGGGGTTTTTTGTAATTTTCTTATGTAGATTTGTATGTTGTTGAGTAAAATCAATATTTTAGGGGTTTTAGGGTTCCAATTCATCTATTATGTTTTTGTATTGTTAAATATTATAATTTTATTGAAATTTCCTTGTATAATTGTATGCTTATGAGTAAAATAAATATTTTGGGTTTGTTGCCTCTGTTTTGTTGTTGTTGCCTATGTTTTGGTGTTGTTGCCTCTGTTTTACTGTTATTGCATTGTACAATATATTGATTATTATTGTGGTTATAGGTTGACACTATGGCTACTAAGTACCTTAATTTAAGGTTTAAATTTGGGGGTATCTTGGTGAGTGAGGTAGGTCCAGTATATGTTGTGGGTAAGGTTGAATATGTACAGAACGTGGATGAAGATCATCTATCAATTCCTGAACTTACAAATTATGCTAAGTCTTTTGGGATTAGTAAGTTAGAAAAAACTTATGCAGTTCCATCTCTAGGGGGTGATCTGGCGGAATTGAAAAATGACATGGACATTTGTAATATTGCATTATTTATGCATGATGGGGACACAATATATATTTGTGTGTGTCATGACTCTATTCTAGAGGATATGGGTTCCACTGAAGGCCAAATTAGTCAATCTTTAAGTCAAGTTGGTGAGTCTTTTAATGCACATAGGAAATTTGATGGTTCTTTAGCTGCACAACCAAAAAATTCAGATCTAGGGTTATGCTCCTCTTCTACCTTTCCATCTAGTGAAAGAGTTGAGAATGATGGGGTTGCAGGTGTCCAATAAGAAACAACTATTCTTCAATAGATTGGACTGATACTGAAGAAGAAGTTGAACCTTCTGTCCAACAAGAAACAGAACCTTCTATTCAAGAAGAAGTTGAACCAAGTGCCCAAGAAAATGCAGAGGAAGATATAGACAATGATTTTATTTGTTCTGACCAATCTATTGACTATGAAAGTGATGTGCATGAGGAGTTGATGATTGTGAAGAAAGATATGAGAAAGTTTAGAGAAAGTAGGAGAGTAAAGTTGGACTTGACGAAGGGTATGAAGATATTGAAAAAGGAAAAAAAAAATTCAAGGGTAAGCTAACAGAGGATGAGCCATACTATGACAGTTCTGATTGTGATAGTTTTCAAAGTGATAAAGAACAACTTGTTTCTGATGATGAACTTGAAGGAGGGAGTTTAAGGGGG